ATCTTACGTTTCAGCGTTTTAGCCTGAAACAAATTAAAAGAGAATCTGTAGCTCATTTGTCTGTAACGCCCGTTTTCATTGGCAAGCGAAATTTTTACAAGCCACTTTGTCTTTAATGCGTTGTTAACAGCTGTTCTGCTGCTGCTGTTACGTTCGCGCGTGTTTTGCCCTCAATTTCACCTCAATTCCCTTTTTGTCATGGCTGTCACCACTGTGAAAGCAGCAATTTAATATTCAGGTGGTCTTTTTTCATGGCAATGACAAGCAGAGGGGTCATGTCGCCCTGCCCTGATGCATCGCGTCACACAAACTCGAGCTCGGCGCTGTCAGTCGACATGGTTCGCGCTAAGGACACCAGAGACTGCCCCATTGATAATTGGATTCAGATACATGGGTTTCAGGCCAGTCGAACTCGAAGAGACAGGTATCTGGCCGTTTAGGTGGGTCAGGCCAATGCAACTAACCTAGTCTGCACTGGCAGCTGTTGGCTTCATGTGCAGTTCGGCGAGCGAGCCGTGTTCACTAGGTGAGATGGTTATTTGTTTAGCGTAGAGGAAGTCTGCCTCCCACAATTAGGTAGTCAGCTTTTTCGGTGAAAGTTTTAAGTGAAAGTCAACTGCCGCTTCTCGGAGTGGCTAACCGGATCACACTCTGCTGTTCATCAGAATTTTGAATCATTATTCAATCAGTAAAGCTGATCAAACAAATCTTCACTCATGGATTACTACGGCCCAGTTTTAATAAGACGATTTGAAGTTCTCTTATGATTTGCAGACTGCTTTGTGACGGTTAGTGTCCAGATCACGGAAGGGGTTGTGGGTTCTCGCTAGGGAACCTTTTTTACCAATGGGGCGAATTGGTAACCTTAGGTGCGGGATAAACAAGTGGTCGCTGGGTTCGGTGAGAGTTCTGTCTGAACTCGAAACCTAAGTCTTTCCCGGTTTTATGACGTTTTCGTCTATCGGAAACTGAGAATAGGATCTTGTCAGAATGACCTTAAGGATGATTCGACAACGGTAGTTTATGTAAGCCCCCTTAGTGACCATTAACCTTGGGATCTTGTCAAGCGGAAATAGAGGAAATGGGAGTTTTCAGAAGGTGGCCTTGCCGCAGACAAGCGGTGAAAGGGGAGCAAGAAAGCACAAAAGATAAGGCTATTTCCCTAAAATTTATCCTTCTGGGCCTATATATAGCAACGAAATTGAGAACGATATTAATAAAAAAAAACAAAAGGCAATTCTCAATAAATAGCTGTTATGTAAGTAACAAAAACCACAATAGAACAACTACAAAGATTTATGTCCTCAAAAGAAATAAGTAGTTAAAACACAGAGAGTTACTTCAAGTAAATAATAAAGCCAACCAAGCTGGGGTGTGTATTTTAAACCCAAGGGCTTTACACAACATTTCGTTAGCAATAATTCTAACCCATTATTCTTTAGTTATCATTTTTTATGTACAACTGGTGATGAAATACCAGTTTGCATCGTTTTTTATTCGTAGCTCGCTAGTACTCGCGGTGATACTGATTAATGATGTATTCATTAATCAGCAGAGTGGAGAAAATGAATAGAACAGACGGTATTACCTGTAGTCACGGCCGTTCTGTTTTGCATTCTGTAGAATAGCATTGCCTGTCTATGTAAACACGCTCCTCGCAAATATTCAAAACAAAAGCTAGCATTCCTCCGCTTCCTTTGTTCAGCCGATCCCAGGGCCTATGGATTTCATAAACATCTGGGATATACTGGGTCCTGAGAATGCTACTTCCCTCATTAAAGTACAGCAAGCTCTCGTGGATGCTACTGGAAACCTGGCAAAATGCAATCTTCTGTACTGTTCACACATGTAGGGTTAACCCGACTCTGAACCTCTAGGAAGTTTTTAATCTTGCCCGTTTGTAACAACTCCCCGCGCTCGCATGCGCTTATGACATACCTTAATATCTTGATGGAAAATTCCTCTTTACTTGAATGAAGGTGGTTTGACGTGCAGTTGACTCATCTCTGTCTGGTATGGTGTAAATACAGCACTTCTCTCTCGAGGACTGGGACCGATTCAACCCGTCAACTGATGTGAAAGCCTGGTGGCCCGCCGGCTCTGACAGTAAAACAATGGACCCAGATCTACATAATATGTCGTGCGCTTGGCAGCCACCATGCTCAGTGTAACTTCTGTCTCTCTTTCTCGCTCCCTCGTTGACTAGCGACCAAGCTGTCACGATCTGCCACAGTTATGATAGATTGAAATCAGTTACAGGCAAACATTTAAGCTAGCAGATTGGGACCTTTTGATCGGAAAGACCAAGCACATCGGCATGCACAGAGTTGAGCGTGAATAAACACCCAACATATTCCACACACTAAACTGACAGACGAGGAGGCATCGATAAACATCTGTTAACCAATCGGCTAGGTGTTGTCTGCGGAACAACTGCGCAGTATCATTGCCTGCGTATGTTTGTCTTTCTGGTCGCGCATTTGGGTTGATAGAGGGCTAGGCCGCAGAGACAGATTCTGTCTCATTGTACCGGTGTTTTGTCAGTCTGGTCCTGGCAGCGAACTCTTTCATGAACAATGTCACACAAAAATGCCGCTACATAAAGGATGAAGGCACCTCCGTCTGACTACCATTTAGCTTAGGCGGTCCAATTCGCAACTTTCCGGTTTACCCTTGTTAGTCGACAACTGAATAGAAATGTAGAACCACAGCCATAAGACTAGGCAGTATTGCTTCAATTTACGGCGGCGGAGGAATTTTTGTGTTGCAGACAAGTCCAGATAAGCTTACCCCGTTTGACAGGTAGAGTTCGGAAGTCTTTAAATATAAAAATTGCACGGACCACGCATTGTTGCGCTGTGAGGTGCGGGCCGTGTTCGGAATCTTGGGATTTCCACCCAGCGCTTGAAAGAGCTAAGAGCTAGACACTCAAGGCATAGAAGCTATTAAGGCGCCAAATTTGCAACCAAACAAATTCGGTGATTATGTCCAACAGTTTCGGAGCAGGAAAATGAAACAACCAGATGAATAATTCTTGGGGTTACGCCGAGTGGGTGTTGAAACTCCTTTTTGCAGATGCTTTTGCTGAGGAGTATATTCAATTTGCAGATTCGAATATAGTTAAAAGCCCAATAATAATATTTTTAACCCTGTAGTTATTAAGAATGTGCACGTGGTCGGTCTGTGCGTTCGACTACCCAGCCCCCAATGACCCCGAGTTCGAATTCTAGGCCCTCCAGACCTGAAGTTGGGTGTCCTTGGCTGGCGGCCAGTAATAAGCCAGAAATGGCCATTCCGGTCTCTCTTGTCTTTTGGGCGGTACTTACTCTCAGCGTATACTGCTTGCTTTTGTGTGACTGTCTGCTAGGGGTTCTAGCGTAACCCGTAAAACGCGACAGGATTAGCATGTCCAGTAAAGTGACCAGTTAACGCCACCCCTCCTCCCTGTCGCAGTATCAACTTCGTTCAGATTTGTTTTAACTCAGCTGGACATATGATTAGAGAAGCCTGATTTCTAAATAGCGGCCGGCAACTCTCATGGTATTAACCAAATAGATTACTTTTCCTAAAAGGCC